TTGGCACCATTTAACACACAAAATCATTTTTATAAGACTGTGGCTTTAACTTCTAGGTCTGATTACATCATTAATGTTCCAAATTTATTGTCTCTTTATAGGAACTTTAGTTCCTTTGAACACTAGATAACAACCTAAAATACTTTAAAAATGACCCCCCAAAAAGACCCAGGCCACTCTTAACATGTAGTATAGTACTAACTTTTTTTTTTAGAATTGAACAAAAGTAATTTTACTGTCAAAAGGAACATCTGAGATCAATTAACATGAGCAAATTTTAGAAGTTTTTAAAATTTGATTTGTTTCAGAGAAAAATGAAACAATGTTAGAAGGTTATTTAAAACAATGTTTAAATGAACAAAGTATGAGGTCTCCTTGTTCAAAGTACAAATGTAGGGAGGAAAACCATTCTGGAAACATCATTTCTCATCATTCATTTTCCATGTAATGGTCACTGAATTGTCCCATTTCACGATCCCATGGCTGGGGACAATTGTGGGACCTCTGCTGTACTGGTCTGATTTTTTTCGTTAGAAGTCTAATGTATTGGTCACATTAATAATATCAGCATCTGCTATCACTTATCTTTAAGAACTAACCAAAAACATGGCGAGTTCAGAGACATTAGTTCACACCAGCAGTAAGAATATGGTTTTAATTTTCTTTTGAATGGAAAAGATAGAAAATAGAATTGTTTCGTATTGTTAATTTGTAAATCGAGTCGGAGCCTATTTGAATTTAGCTTCTCATTAACTTCGTGTTTCTGAGGACTCATTCCCTTTGTATCCGCCAAACCTCGGGCAAATACGTTGCTGTAAAGACCTCAGATGCTCCTGTTTGGTCTTTATTTAACATGCTCACCCTCAGCTGAGCCCCTTGTGTGTTCTGATTTGCTGCCACTTGTAACTGTGTCCCAGTGACCCAGTCCTACTTGACTTGATTAACTGCTCATCCATTTCTTATTTTTTCCTGTCCAAGCAAATTTAAGAGTTATTACCAACTTCTTGGTGTCACACAAAGAATCTGTTAGCCTAGGGCGGTAAACTTGGAGATTTTTTTAAGCCTAGAATCCTGTCTTAGGTTTCAGACCTAGAGCCAGTGTTCATGAAACGGACAGAACGGCCTTACTTTAAACAGAGAAGATAATACTCGTGTCATCATTTTCATTATTAGGTTACCAGCAGGAGAGGTGATGAGCTTTTTTTAAATGAAACACCTTTTTACCATTTCTCTATCACGTATGTTTTTATTTTAGAGTTCAATAGCTGTTTCTGTAATTATCCTCAGTTCCCATGTGCTTGTTAATCATTGAAAAACTCATCTTAAAATTCATACTGTTTCATTCTCTCTCTTACAAGTGTTAAATGTGTGATAAAAGTTCCTATTTTAAGTTGTTTTCAGCTCCTGGATATAGCTGCAAGAAAAGCACTAATTTGTGGGTATTTAAGAAAATCTGGGGAATAAACTCATACTTTAAAAGATAACTTCTCTTTTTAATTCTCTTACTGTTTAAAACAAAAAGCCATAGGTAATTTTCATTTTTCTTTCAAAATCATGTTATCTCAACCTGTTTTTAAGTCGTGGGGAAACATTTTGCACGTGTTGGACTTTCCCCCCTGAATTCTTTCTAATTTGGGATTGGGCACAGGCCAGGCCTGCTTGTGCTCTTGACCAGTGGCTGTCCAACTCCGTGCACATCAGAGTCACCTGCAGGGCTTGTTACAACACAGATTGCCTGACTCCCACCCAGAGTTTCTGATCCATAGTCTGGGGTGGGGCCCAAGGATTTTCATTTCTAACAAGTTCTCCGGTGATACAGATGCAGCTGATCTATGGACTACACTTTAGAAAAGAACTATGTTGGGCTTTTAAAGTATTTTTCTGAAAAAAAGTGAACATGGACATCAGTGAAGATAGGGTTGTGGAACAGCATGATGCTTACTTATCCAGTGCCTTTGTTTTTGAGTCTAGTGACTTGAAAGTGTGGTTTTATTGTGTCTCCTGAGATGTAGAGAAATACTAGAGCTTTTTCAGTGGGTATAAAACAATGTCTCAAACTTGGAGCTTAATAATTACTATTGAAAATATTGAATGGCATCTCCTGAAGACTGCAGAAGTTTCATATTGCTGTTTTCTCTCTATAAGATTGAGAGCCCTGTTTATCTTTTCCCAGCCCCTAATAAGTTCTACTTTCTGTCTCTGAATTTGATATAAGTAAAATCCTACAATATTTGTCCTTTCGTGTCTGTCTGACTTCACTTAGCATAATGTTTTCAAGGTTCATCTGTGTCCTAGCGTGTGTCAGAGCGTCGTATGGCTGAAGAGCATTCCATGATGTGGATGTACCACATTTTGTTTATCTGTTGACGGCCACTTGGCCTCTTTCCACCTTTGGCTATTGTGACTAGTGCTGCTATGAACATGGGTGTACTAGTCCTGTTTTCAATTCTATATCTGCATATTGGCTTTAAAAAATGGATGCAGGGGAAATTGTACAGAGCATTTCTTTGTACCCTTCACTCATTTTACACATTGGCTTTTAAAACCAAAACAATGTTTATGTACAAAGGAGTGGTCTGGTAGACCAGAGAGAGCCAATTCCTGGCAAAGCTCTTAATATTTTAAATCTTACCCCAGTGACCGTGATGACAAATTCCACAAGAACTGTCCTCATACCTACTGTCAAGGGGGCCCACAGTCAGTGGAACAGGAACTACTTGTGATCAGAGTTACCAGACCAAGTTCCAGCCGTGCACATGGAGTGTGAATCATGTGCGTAAGTTCCAGTGGAGCAATTACCATTAAGGCTCTCCTGGCTTCATTATAGGTGGTCTTGCATCTGAAACCCAGTAAGAACTTTTAAAGGTTTAGAACAAAAAAAAATCGAAAGCACATTTGGCTTTACTGGGACAAATAAGTATTATTCGGTCCGAGTCATAAAAGTAGCTAAATAGACATTACTTATACATCCACAAAATCTCAGCCAAGTTTTCCTGAACTTTATTTTATTTTTAGGCTGTAGAAATAATGTTCCCAACAGGGACGGCTTTATCTACAAGGAAGAAGGTAGGTGTCACAGGGCACCTTTTCTTAATTTTTCTGATTTACTGTACATACAGCCTTATTATTTAATATGAGTACCAACTCTGCGGGAAAGACCATCTTCAAGTTTTAACATTTCTAAATGCAGTACTCTGTCCATATCTTAATTTGAACTTTGGACATTTTTCTTCAACTGTGAAAGAAAACTTTTTGGTTTCATCATGCTTGTATTCTTGTTTTCTTTTTTTTTAATGCTTAAATGTCACTTGCAGGTGTAGCAAGTTAAAAGGTTAAAGCAATATGATGTAAACTAATTTTACTCCACCAGGATTTTAGTGTCATATTTAAAGTTTTAGAGCATTCAAAGAATTAGATTAAGTTTAAAAGGGCTAACTAACCTTCCAGAAAGAGCAAAGAAAATGTTGGGATGACATAAGACGCTTCTTAAAATGCGTATCATGTCTGCGGCCGCCTGCGCGACGTAATGCCTCGGCACAGAACGCTAACCAGCTGGCTTCCCGGGGCCTTCACGTCGATTTTTATTGCGAGGAATGCGGGGCAGATACTTTATTCCCGGTGTCTCTCCTTTGAATGGAACCGCTACGGAAGGCCCTGTTCCCTCACCTTGTAGAAGGCAGGTCTCCAACGAGGAGGGTAATGTGATTTCCTCCTGCTGTCAGGACTTAGGGATTATAGTCCCATTTGGAAATGAGCTCTTCCTCTGAGATTTAGGTAATACCAACATATCCTGGACCAGAGTGGGTAAGCAAAAATATAATGGCTCCCCAGCTGGCAAAACCTTACTTCGAGAGGGCAACCTTTTTGTCTGTTTTTTAATTTATTGATGTGAGAGAGAGAAGCATCGGTTGGTCGTTCCACTTACTTATGCGTTCACTGTACTTGCCCTGACTGGGGATCGAACCTGCAACCTTGGCGATGCTCTAACCAGCTGAGCTACCCGGCCAGGGCTGAGAGGGCAACGTTTACAACTACTGGCAGCTAAATGCCCAACAGCTGGCACATGGTTACAACATGTGTGGACTTAGAAGAATATTCAGTGAACTTTGGCTTGACTGTCTTGGAGACAGGCAACGAAAGAAAGACGGCGTCAGTCCACGAGGTGCCGTGAAAGCGAGAGTCACGGAGCACACATCAGTGTTGTACAGGAGAGACCCTTAGCTAACCGAATCCAGGGGTTCGGGGCTTCCGGGCAAGGCCACCCGAACCATGGAAATGGATACAGGAGTTACAGCTAAAGCCCCATGGCCCCCTTGTTGGA